ACAAAAAGTAGTGAGAAGGAGGCTTGAGAATGAATCATACATGCAAAACTTTGCGGTGTGAGTATGTGTTTAGCCCCATTTACATTGATACCCTTAGGGAAAAAACAAAACATATTTGAACCTATTTGAGGTCAAGTGATTGGAAAACAAAAGTTCACATGGGTGTAATTTAATCTCACTCTGAATGCAGCTGTTTTATGAAGGCTTCAGAGGCTTAAGAGAGATCATCAGTGAACAAACAGCAACAAAGGCAAAGGAACAGCAGGTTAGGAAGAAGCATAAAGCAGGAGTAGATATTAAAACAATATCAAGGTTTTTAACTATCAGTCTTGCAATTGAAGTCAGATCTAGATAGAAAAGTGTCAAGAAGAAAGTCATTGGAAAGGAAAACCACTAAAATACAGTTTTTAGTTTCACATAAGCATTAAAGACCCAATGAACATGTGGAAGGCAAGATCGGAATTCATGACATCTAGCTGTTTATCGTCCTGAATGCACCATCTGTATGGTAAAGCATGGTGCTGGCAGCATCATGCTGCAACAAGGCTTTTGGTTTGTCACATAAAATAATGCTGCTAAGACTGAAGCTAGTTGTGACACAAAGTTCAAACGTTTATGATATTTCTGCAAGGCATTCGGTCATATTACTGATATTAAAAGGCAAGGTAAAAACCAAGATTCTATGGGTTATACGCTATATAAACCAAAGGTATAACCAACTCTAACTCAACATAAAAGAAAGCAGTTGGGTTTTATTTGCCTCTGTTTATTGACTGGATAAGGTTTTATTGGGTGTGAATGCTGCTAAATAAAGAACAGGGAGCCCTTCCTTCTGGTTACAGTTCTATTGTAATTGAAAGGTTTTGCTGTGCATTATTAGCAGTGACAGAAGCTGAATCTGACATAGTGCTCTGGCCCAGTTGTGTGTTGAACGTCACGGAAGAATCTAAATGTTTTGTTTACTCATTGTGTGCCAGCACGAAAAGTTCTAGTGGACCCCGCCCAGACAAACCTGCATTCAGGGTTACTTTGTTGACAATACACAGAGGAATCCCCGTGCATTATCTTTATATGACAAGCATTGATAACACAGTATAAGTGAAAATCAAGCAAAGTGGATTCAATTTTAATCTCCTTTAATACCCAAAGAGATCTGAACTTCCTGTAGGTTAGATCTCCATCGCTGTTGGACATATTTAAAAAGAGCTTAGGGCATTCCTTGCAGAGTTGTGATGACGCATCTCTGACTGCTGCTCTATCAACATGACAGGAGTGACTGTGTTTAGCCACCAACAGCAGAGCTTGTCGCGCTTCCCTTCAAGCATCCGGGCGAGCGCATGGTGCAGAACAGGGTGGGGTTTTGAGTAAAGAAAACGCCACCGCAGGTAAAGTCCATAACTTTGAAGTTAATATCACAACATTAAACGCTTATTAGAGGCAATTAAGACGCTTAACTGTCCTCATGTCTCGAGTGAAGAGATGGAACCAAAAGTTATTTGTCTCCTGAAAGATTCAAAGTGGAGTGTGCTCTAAATATTGCATAACCTGTGCAGAGCGAGATGACTGAGTGCAAAAGAGCAGGGAAAAGTCATTCACAGTGATTCTACAGGTACACTATCGTTCAAA